CCGGGAGCGCTTTGACTCGTGGACCACCAAATCACAGATTCTGATTGAACCGTGAGGGGTTTAATGATTCTTCCTTCGTTTATCGAAGTAAGAATTTGAAGCGAATATCTTATCGATGTAAGATGTTCACTCTTCCAAAGATCAAGTCTGAGCTTAGATCTCTAGGAATGGCCAAAAGCTTCTTGAGGATGTTTGTGAAGAAGAAAGACTCTCTCTCTTGCTCTAATTCACCAAAACTCAAGGCTCTCTGCTCTAATCTCTCTGGAAAATGCTCAGCCCCTGTCAATGATGGCCATTTTAACTGCCTTCCCACGTTTCAAACTCCGTTATTTTGGCAGTTATCCACGTGATTCTCGCCCACGACGTTTCCCACGTTCTTGAACAGTTGATGGACACGTGTAGGGCAGTTATCAAGGTGGTTTTGACCATTTCAACACTGTCTCGCTGGCGAGACAGCAAAGCCTGTCTCGCTGGCGAGACAGTTCATTCTCGCCTTGATTTTCAAAATGAGATCCCTTTGAGTGATTTTCTCTATGTTTGGGATATCTATTAGCATTTTTTGACGCCTACAACTTGATCATCGCCATTTCGTTTGATCTTGTAGACCCATTTGTTTCCAATGGTCTTTCTTCCTTGTGGTAGTGACACAAGTTCCCAAGTCTTGTTCTTATGTAGTGCTTTAATTTCTTCCTGTATTGCTGTCATCCACAAAGATGTATCTGTGCCATTTATAACTTCATGAAAAGTTGATGGCTCTCCATCTTCTGTTTGAAGACAGTATGCAACATTACTCTCCGTAATATACTCCGAGTGCCAAGTCGGTGGCCTTCTCTCACGAGTTGACCTTCGAGCTTCTGCAGCCTCGGACTCGACTAGTTCTTGTACATCATGCTCCGGTGTTGCTTCAGAAGAATTCGGATTATCTTCTACCTGAACAGTTACAGTCTCTGAGTCCTTCCTCGAACTGCTTTCTTTTTCTTCACTTTGTAGTTGATTTTCTACAAAGATAACATCTCTACTGATGATAACCTTACGGGCAGTGGGATCCCACAGGTGATACCCCTTCACTCCATCAGCATACCCCAAGAATATGCATTTTCTGGATTTTGAATCCAGCTTTGTAATTTCTTGAGCATTATACATTACGTACACTGGACTTCCAAATATATGGAGGTTGGAATAATCAGCTGGCTTGCCAGTCCACATCTCCATCGGCTTCTTCAATTGTATTACAGTTGATGGAGATCGATTCACCACATAACAGGTGGTTTTTTACTGCTTCCGTCCAAAAAACTTTTCCCAGATTTACAGTTGCCAACATAGCTCTTATTCTTTCCAACAGAGTTCTGTTCATCCGCTCTGCCACTCCATTTTGTTGAGGAGTATAAGTAGTGTTGAATTATCTTTTGATGCCTTCATGCTTGCAGAATGCTAGGAATTTACCGTCTGTGTATTCTCCTCCATTATCTAACCTCAAGCACTTGATCTTTTTCTCAGATTCAAGTTCGACCCGCGCTTTGTAGGCTTTAAAGACTGAGAACACATCCGCTTTCTTCTTGATAGAATACACCCAACATCTCCTAGAGTAATCATCAATAAAGGACACAAAGTACTTTGCTCCTCCTAAGGATGTAACTGGTACTTGCTATACATCAGAATAAACCAGTTCTAGAATAGTCTTGCTTCTAGAACTCGATGTGTTGAACTTTAGCCGATGATTCTTACTAGTAACACAATGCTCGCAGAATGGAAGAGCTACCGAATTAAGTCCAGGAAGCAGTTTCTGATCGGAGAGAATCTTCAAGACTCGTTCTGACATGTGGCCTAGTTTGTGATGCCACATCATAGTTTGTTCTTCTCCACGGCTGGTTGATGCCACACATGAATTAGCTTCCTGCATGGTTTCTCCCTTGAGCATGTACAGATTTGCAGCTATCTTTTCTCCTTTTATCACCACAAGCGCCCCTCTAACGATCTTCATGATCCCATTTTCGATATGAGTCTTGCACCCGAGTTCATCCAATTGTCCCAAAGATAATATATTCTTCTTTAAGCCCTTCACATGCCGCACATCTTGAATGGTGCGTATTGTTTCATCAAACATTTTGATTTTTATAGTGCCAATACCAGAAATCTCCAAGGCATGATCATTCCCCATGAATACAGATCCTCCTGAGATAGGTTCATATTTGTGAAACCATTCTCTTCGAGAGGTCATGTGCCAGGAGGCTGCTGAATCTAAAAGCCAGACATCAGCAAACCTCTTTCTGCCTTCATCAACAGTGGTTGCTCCACTGAATAGAATTTCACCCTTCATCAACAGTGGTTGCTCCACTGAATAGAATTTCACCATCGTCTGATGTGCTGACAACGCATCCTTTAGATGTTGATGGCTCTAAAGACTTTTTATCTCCACTCTTCTTATTGTGCCAACACTCCGATTTGACGTGCCCTCTTTTGCCACAGTTGTAGCATTTGACATTCTTCTTACTTCTTGATTTGGATCTACCATGGGTATGACTCCCACTGGAGTCACGTTCCGTTGATCTTCCTCTCGTCACCGTTTGATTTGGATCTACCATGGGTATGACTCCCACTGGAGTCACGTTCCGTTGATCTTCCTCTCGTCACCGTTAAAGCCTCCGCTTGTTGAGAACTTGCCTTCCTGTTTTTCTTGTTCTTGCGCTGATTTTCTTCCTCTAGAACAGCGGCTACAACATCGTCGAAGACTAGATTGTCCGTGAGGACGTTGTTTGTCAGGTTGATGATGAGTTGATCATACGAGTCAGGTAGACTCTGAAGTAGAAGTTCTGCACGTTCATTCGCACCAACTGTATACCCCAACGTTGTGAGTTGGGAGAACAGTGTATTTAGGGTGTTGATGTGGTCGGTCATCGATATAGATTCCGCCATCCCAAGATTGTAAAGTCTCCTTTTTAAGAAGATTTTATTGTGCATGGATTTCACCTCATATAGCTTTGTTAGAGTATCCCAGATCTCCTTTGTTGCCTTCTTTTCCTCTATGCTTGACAGCACCCCGTCTGCTAATGCCAGATGAAGATTTGCAATAGCATTTTTGTTCATCTCGTTCCACTTCTTATCATCAGTGATGTTGTCCGGCCTTGCATCGATGACCGCCAGGCAATTATTTTTTCTCAAGATAGCATTTATCTTCAACTTCCACAGTGAGAAATTACTCCCGTCGAATTTCTCGATCTTGAACTTTGCCGCCATTGCTTCTACTACGAACAGTGACTTCTTACTATCTCACGTAAACAGTAACTGTATTTATGAACAGTAAGCGTAACTATGAATAGTACCGTACTTGTGAATAGTGTCGTATTTTTGAACAGTACCGTACTCGTGAATAGTACTCATCACCTTCAAAGGGTAAATAATAACCTAACTTATTTTCTGATGTGGAGGATCCACGTTTGGTGACAGCCACAGAGCATACGATAAGTAGATATATACAAGCACCCTAAGTTGGCTCTGATACCACTTGTTGGGACAAACCCGATGCCTAATAGAGCAGGATCGCAGCAATAGTAGAGCAAAATAGAGATAAAAAGTTGGACACACATATTTACGTGGTTTGGCACTTGATTGCCTACGTCCACGGGCAAGGATACAAGAATCCATTATGAGGAGAAAACTCTGGAGTTACAAACTCTCTCTCTTTACAAGAAGAAATTCTCTCTGTTTTTTCTTTCTCACTCTTCTATATAAGAAGTTGTTTCTGGGATGAGATTTCCTTAAGGATTTGGATCCTATTTATAGTATTTTGAAAAACACTATGCATAATAAAATAATAATAAATTACTATATTGTGGGGCCCACTCTTTTGTTTTCTTTTTCAATTGTCAAAAGGTGGGTGCTCTTGTCAAAAATGTGCGGCTGTGCTTTCGGTGATGGTAGGCGCCTGACATTTAATATATCCACATTTATTACGGTTCAATGCACCAACTTAGGCATGTAAGTATTTATTTAAGGCACTCTGTGATGGCAAGATGGTTCGGGACTAAAATGTAATTAGTAAAATTATGGAACTAGAAATTTATTATATATTTATTATTATTATGTTTTCGATATGTATAAATATAGTACCACATGCCAATGCATTCTTATTGTTTTCAATCATATTATGATAAACAGTATTTTTGTCCTAGTATAATATATGTCCTCAAAAGAGCAAAATATTTCAAAATGTATCCTTAAATCACTTCTTATTATTATTTTTTTCTTCAGTAAAATAAACAAAATAAAGGAAAAGGAAAATTAGCATTCAAATAAAACTTTATCTAAAAAAGGCCGATTAACCTTTTCTTTTCTAGGTATATTTCTCAGTTCACCAAGCTTAGTTTGTACTTCCATGCATAAGCATACAACATGTATTCCATTATGCACGATGATCAGAAATAAAGGAAATTTACCAAATTGAGGAATGAAAATTTTCTACAATATATGCTATGATACCTATACTATAAATGCATTTTACGTATGTTTTTCTAAACTACAAATTACTGCATAAAAACTCAAAATTACACATCCCAGGCATAGCCAAGATCATAGCAGTCATTATGCAATAAGATGATAACGCACTAAAATTGATTGTAGGCCTTGTTAGATGGGCCAAGCCTTTGTTTCAAAGAGCCCATTACAAGCATACCGGGGTGTCACTTAGAGTAGTTAATTAATTAGAGGAAAAATATAAGAAAAATGCATATTATATTCATTGTTTATGTTTTTTGCCCTTTTCAAAATGACAAAGTACAGCACCGAGAGTATAAAACTGAGAGGAATATATTTTCTGCCGTGGGGTTGTTTGTTTTCTAATCTGTTTCTTAAATGTTTACATGTACTCCGACGACACTGTCTAAAATCATTCTTCCAATATCAAAGCTACAAAGTCGTAACGAAGATCGAGAGTTATAATTTTCGTATTCTAACATTTTTTTAGCATATAATTGATTCGATGATTTAAAAATCACAAGGGTCAATATGCAATCTGCATCTAAATAAATTCTTAATAGTTCGATCGAGTACAAATAGCAGGGAGTCAGCTTAACTCTAGCATGTGGAGAACTCAAGAAAGAAAGCAGAAAAAACTGGGTTTTCTGTTCTACCTCGTTCTTGTTCGTGTGATTAGAGTTCCGCTGCGCACAACATTGCAACAGCAAACAAACCTTCAATTTACAAGCAATTATCAAATTCATGCCCCCTAATTTCTTAAGAACACCAAACCATCACTCTAATCAACATTCGATGAAGCATCCTCCTTCTTCTCTGCAGCAGAATTTTCCTCAGCTACTGATACCTTTTGCTCAACTACTGATACCTTTTGCTCGAACTTACCATCTTTCTTCTCCTCAACTACTGATACCTTTTGCTCGACATTAGGATTCTCGACTATTTCCTTTACCCCCTCGACCTCCACAAAATTTGTTTCGGATGCAGGGGTCTCAGTAGCTGTTTCTGATACTGGAATGTCAGTTTCTTCGATAGTTTTCGCAGTTTCAGTTGTTCTCGCAGTTTCAGAATGCTGAGCAGGATGAACTGGTGCCTTAGTCTCTTCTTTCTGTTCTCCTTTGGTTTCAACTTGTGATGCATTGATGCCTTCTTTTACTGTAGCGTCTCCATTATTTGCTGACACTTCTCTTCTCTTTTCACTCTACAAACAAAAAAAAGCAACTTATAAATTTATGTACTATGATAGAGAAAAAAAAGGAAGTAACATTTGATTGTTGGAAAAGCATGATATGTAAAGGCCATGACAGGTCATGATACCGAGAATAGCGAAAAAAAGAAGCCAATTTGTCGGCAAAAGCTAATGCAGAGAAATATGTTCACTTCTCAAAGGTACAATCTTGCGAGGGAGAAAATGTCATATACAGGAAAATTTGGGCAATTCGCCAATGCTACATGTTGAGTTCTTGCCAACCAACTATGTTTGTTATTGAACCCGTAAAAGGAACCAACTGTGTTGTGGTCTTAAATTCCTTCAACTATGCCAAATTTCCGAGATTGCACAGGGAGTTGAAAGGATTATAATTCTATAGTTTAACATGGTTTTGCAAGTTGAGTACATCTTTAGGATCGAAGCCTAAGATTTTTACGTAAAAAGCGTGATTTAAATCTGGATTGTTCTGATACTATTTTTAAAGCTCTTTCACCACAATAAACATCGAGTTAGGATAAGGGCAAAGAAAGAGCCTTGTGTAGCCCAAAAACTTAGGAGAGAGTGAAGATGCTCTTTCATTTGATCTATTACGCAAGTTGGTACTTAGATTCTTCAACTCTTTATCTGGACAAAGTCAGAGCTATGCCGTTGTGTTTGTATTATTTAATGTGTATACACTTGAGGAGCACAGGGCTCACGTGTTTGCCTACCAAAACAACATATTTTGGTTGTTATCTCCAAATTAATTACAGAGGGCACACAAAGATAGACAAACTCGTGCTCTTCCCAATTGTCCACAATTTTTTTAATAAATAGCCGAAAAATATTATATGATGTTTAATATAATAAGATTAGTAGAGAAATAACTACAAGTTATCAAGTCTCAGAGATGCTAAAAGTTCATAGAGAGGTCTTCTCGCTTGTAGATAAAAGCATAGGTGATATTCAAGTTATACCCTCAGAGTATATATCAACTTTATTCAATAAAGAGACACCAAGTTCTTCTGTTTTAACTCAAGTATATTGCTAAACAAGTCTCAGAAAATACTGAATTATTATTTTTTTTAAAACATGCTCATAATTAACATTTCTCTACTTTATGGGGACCTAGAGGTTTCATATACTTATCATGTCTTACATCTAAAAAAAAGATCTTATGAAGTTCTCTGTACAACTGCTAAGACAAAAACTTGTGTCATTATTTGCTTTATTAGGATATTAATTGTTGGATTAATTCACACCTGCAATGTTTGGAAACATGCCAAAAAAAATTAGTTTCCTTCCAAGAGAAATCACCACCTATCACCAATTTTCCTCATTGTAAGACGCCATAATTAAGAGATTTCGCCTAAACATATGATGCAAAAAACCCCTCTTCTATGTGAATAAATTCTGGTCTTCAGTTTTATTGTGATATGGACTAATGGCTAATATTGCTTTGAGCTTCATATAGCAAATACGTGAAGGAAATTTTCATCAAACTCCATAAAACAAAAATTTATTACCTCTCTAAACAAATGGCTAAGAGATTTGCGCTTGTTCTCATCCTCTTTGTCTTCAACCTTGGTCTCCTTCTCTTCAAGAGGCAGAGGAGCCTTGATCCCTGCTTCCTCCTTCAAATCTTTAGGTTTTGTAGCACACGTACCCATTTTCTCTTTCTTCAACTTTTTTAGAGAGAGAGAAAATAAAATGAGAAGGAAAAGAGAGGAGAATGAAATTGAACGGGACAGCGGGAAGTGAGGGGGGGCTTTTTATAACTTTGTGTTACGACAATTGTTCTGCGTTGGAGGGTGATGATGCAATTTAAGAAAAGTCCAGGGGGAGAAGCGAGAACACAGGGTGGATATTGCTAATTACAGGCTGTTTTGCTTGCTAACTACATAAGGGGATTTTGTTTGCATACTTGTCCCTAACAATATTTTTATTGCATACTTATTTTGGATGCATAAAATCCCTATGGTATACACATAGTTCTGTCGAAAATATATTTAAATACTCTATTATGTTCTCCTATGTTCGATGAAGGGACAAACACTAAATTTAGATTTGGATGGTACCTAAATATTCATATATTTGAAAATAAAGAATTCTTAGGGCTAATAGGAATATACGCGAATTCCAAAATAATAATACTAAACCCTCGAACTTATTCACTATTTAGAATTAGTAATTAATATTGAAAATCAAAACATTCATTGAGAGTGTTCCTGCTTTTTTCAGATTTTAATTTTAATAAACTCAAGCCTCCTGGAATTTTGTGAGCGTTTGGCAACCATGGCGTTTTTGCCGTTTTCGTTTTTTTTCAAAAAAAAAATGAAACGTGTTTGGCAACCGGGGCGATTTTTAACTTGACCCTTTACAAAATCCAAAAAATAAACACTTTTCTTAAAACACCAAAAAGGTGTTTTGAGATTCCGTTTTTTCATCTAAGCCGCCTCTCTGCGTCGCCCGCTCGGCCGCCACTGCTCGTCGGCCATCCGCCGGCCCGCCGCCACCCACCCCCACCGCTTACCGCGCTTCGCCGTCGCCCTCCTTCCGCCGCCGTCTCGCCCAGTCGCTGCCCGTCGGTCGTCCGCCGTCGCCGCACTCGGTCGACCGTCCGCCGCCCCGTCGCCAACCACCCGCCGCTGCCGCACCCGCCGCCGCCACCGCCTGCCCCAAAGTCGCGCCATCCCCGCCGCCGTCGTGCCGCTGCTCGTACGGCCGTCGCCGACCGCCTCACCACCCGCGGCTGTCGCCGCTGCCGCCACCTGCCGCCACCGCGCCCCACCCGCCACCGCTAGCCCGCCGCCAGCCTGGCCTCCCCCCGTCGGCCGCTCGCCAGCCCGTTGCCACCACCCGCGTAGCTGCCGCCGTCCTGCGCCACTCCGCGTCACCGCCACCGCTAGCTCGACGCCAGCCGCCGCCGCCGCGCTGCTCGCACGTCCGCCGCCCACGTCCGCCCCGCCCGCCGCCGCTGTGCCCTCCCGCCGCCGCTCTAGTACGTCGCCGCCGTCCGGCGCCACGCCGCTGCCCGTCGGCCATTTGTCGCCCGCCACCCCTGCTTGCCCGTTTTTCCATCTAAGCCGCTTACCCGTAGGCCGATCGCCGTCGCCGCCGCGCCCGACGCTGCTCGTCGACCGGCCGCCGCCCGCCCGCCCGCCCTGTCGCCGCCGCCGCCACCCGCTCGGCCGCCGCGCCCGTCGGCCGTCGGCCGTGTCTGCTTGCTCGATCGGCCAATCCGCCGCCCCGTCGCTGCTTGTCGGCGCCGCCGCCGCCACCGGCCCCTGCCGCCGCCACCGGCCAGCCGCCGCTAAGCCCCCGCTGCCCGCCGGCCAGTCCGCCGCCCGACAACGCCGCTTGCCCGTCGGCCCGTTCGCCACCCCCGCCGCCCACCGCCGCCTGCCGCCTCCAGCTGACCGCCCCGCAGCCCGCTCGGTGGTCAATCCGCCCCGCCCGTCGACGGCAGGTCATCGCGTCGAGTCGGGCCGCCGGCCATCCTGGCCCTGCGCCGGCCCCCGCCCGCCCGCGCCCGCCGCCCGCCTGCGGCCGTCTACCGGTCGCCACCAGTCGCGGCCGCCACCTAGTCGCGCGGCCGTCACCGCTATATAAATAATAACTATAAATGGTGTTTTGAAAACATCTTTGAAAAATAAACACCGTGGTATGGTGTTTTTTAAAAAACACTACAAAAAGAAACACTTTGGTTGCCAAACACACTAAGATAATAAAGATAGAAAATCAATTTCATTAAAAAAAAATGGCCTGTATTGATTTTACTATGTAAATAATGAGTTCATAAGAGTAACAAGAAACGTAAAAATTAACTGAAAAGAAAGGAATTATCTGAATTCGCAGCCACTAACATGCAAATAACCAACAAGAAAATTTTGGAAAGATTGTGAGAATTCAAAGCTTGATGCTGGCCCGCGATTCCGGGAGAGAGTGGGGCCCACGTTTTCTCTATGTTGGGGACAATTATGACATGAGGTAAAGTGGGACCCAATTAGTCAGGCGAATGTCTTGCGAAATACTCTTCGATATTTAGAAAACTAGCTTTATTAGATGTTCATATAGAAACTCAACTTGTTGTGATTACTTAAAAAAAGTGTTGTTAATCATTAAGTTTCGTGAGGTAGACACCTTAAAAAGTCCAGTTTATGGGAGGTAATGCGTTCCTAGGATGACTTTTCATAAAGAATAACATAAGGCTGAATTATGATTGAATCTGGTCTAATTTTAGATACTTTTCTATTATCATTCCTCCTTTAAAAGTGGGAGTCAAGGAAAAAAATTTAATTCCAAAATGCCCTTCAAATTTTATTAAAAACACCAAATTATGGAAACTCATCTTCTGCCGTATAAAACTTTTAATAATTATTCGCTTTTCTTTAATTCATTGTGTTTTCTAATATGAACATTACTAATAATCGTATTTACATTCAGGGTAATGAAGAGGATGGAATAAATGTTCTATCTAATAAAACTAGAGAATCAGCTCTAGCCTTGGCGATACATCACCACAACCAGAATCTTTTGTTGAAGATACATCACAACAAACAAATATGGGTTAGTCCTTCTCATAATAAGCGATTCTTTTTTAGTTGTAACAACTTCCTCATATCTAAAGTACATTATAATGGTATATATACTCTCAGTAAATCAATACAGATACATAAGTTCAGATTCAAAACTCTAACTCTTATAGCGAAAGGAAATCTCCCATTTTGACTTCATGTCTGTGTTCTTTGCCAATGTCAATATATGGGAAAAGGTTCGATCTTTACTCCTCGAATTTTTTTTTTTGTTTTTGTTTTCTCTTTAATTCATTTCATTTTTATTTTGTCATAGGGTTAGATTTATCTGAACGTATTTTTGATATTAACTTACTTGAGACCATCTCCAACCACCCTCCAAAACTCCAAAATCTCCAAATTTGGAGAGTGGAACCTCTCCAACCACTCTCCAAATTTGGAGATCTCCAAATTTGACCCTCCAAATTTGGAGGGTGGGGAGAAATTTTGGAGGGTCTCTCCATAACCCTATTCATGATTTTTTATTTACAATTTTGCCATTTTTAACTATTTGATTTCTTAAAATTTACCACTTTGCCATCCTTCTTAGTAATTTAAATTAGATGTTTAATTTCAAATAAATATAGTTAAAAAATTATTAATCTAATATTTGAAATCATTATATATTTGGAAAGGGCTCGTTGAGATCTTTAAAATGAAACTAAGATTAATTTATTTTAGTATTATTATAAAATTATTAATTTTTAAATTAAATAAATAAGTATCAGACATGAAGTTTAAAATACAGGGATCTATTTAACTCGCTCCATAAAAAAGTACAAGCATAAATTACAATATTTAAATTACATTCCTTCGTTGCCGTGCTTCTGCCATAAATGTTCAATTAGTGCGTAAAATGGAACCGGTAGTTATAACGATAGTGGCCTGCCAGAATTTTAATTGACTCTTATCATATTTTATGTTTGAGGTTTATGTTTACGACCTATGGTATGTTGTATTAGAGGTTAATATTTGCTTTCTTGTTCTATCGATGTATGCTTTCACTGTTATTTCAGAATTTCTTCTTTTATGATATGTTGTATTGCAGTATTAATATTGGGTTCATTTTAAAGCTCTCATCGACACCTTTATAATGTTATAAATTTTTTTCCCAAATAAATTATTAACAATGAAATTATTAACGTAAACTATATCCAACATTCTTTAATTTATATGGCTTCTTTGACAAATAAAAATAAAAATAAAAACATTTAGAGAGTGTGGGTTGGAGCAACCCTCCAAATTTTACCCTCCAAATTGGAATATTCCTAGAATATTCCAATTTGGAGGGCCAAATTTGGAGGGTATGGTTGGAGATGCTCTGATGCAAATAACCATGTTCTGTCCCTTTTCCTTGCAGATCATGAGTAGATTTGATTTTTTTTTTAATAGTCTATCAGGTAAAGTTTTGATTTTTATGGTCATCCGTACATGTTAGTTTTGTTTCATATGCATGAAGGGTCAAGTCATACTCTTCCTAGAAATCTAGGGTTTCATTTGTAAATTTTTGCATATATACAAATGTTATCTTTTGTTTGAATTATTGGGATTAAGGTTTTGTTTATAAAACTTGAATTTTTCTAAATATAAATCTGCAATATATGCAGCACCTCCCTCCTACAATTTCAGACAACGGATATTATGGAGATTGCATACCCCGAATACAAGTTATTAGGTAAGATTTTAATACATTATTTTCAGTGTGCACTCATTCAAGATATTATGGGAATTAAATACGTTGGTGGTCTACGACACAATTATAAAGGTTGCTATCAGTAAATTCAACACATCATATCATTCTCCCTTTTAAAACAAGATTCAGGAAAATCCTTCTATGGTCAATATTACTCTTCACTATTTTGAATCTTTCATTTAAATCTTAATCTACTCTAATTCTAATTATATCTTATCTAATCGCATGGGAACTATCTATAGCTCAACAATTAAAAAAAAATAACAAATTACATGAAATATTATTTAAATTTTTTTATTTAAATCTTTATCTATCTAAATACTAATTATATCCTATATTAACCCCACATGAACTACCTATTGCTCAGCAATTTAAAAAAATAAGATTAAAATTTAATTCAAAAATTAAACAAAAATATCTTTAAATTTTCAAAATTACCCAAAACACCCTAATTTTTCAAAACTTAGAACAACAAACATGAAATCTAAAAATTAGAAATAGCCCCCTGAGGAATTTAAAATTTATAATTAATACCCTTAATATTTCTAAAATTGCAGAAACAACATCAAAAGTTCAAATTATAAAAAAAGCACCCTAAATTCAGAGATTTCAAAACTTGCAAACAATATAGATAAATTTCAGGGATTACCATTAGGCACTTGAAAATTTAAAATTTGTAAAAAAATAACCTTAAAGTTACATAAATTACAAAAACTCCCTCAAAAGTTAAAAATTATAAAATTCCTAAAATTTCTAAACTTATAACCGATAGACATCGAATATGAAAATTATCATCAAATCGCTAAAAATTTGAATTTGTTAGAAAAACAACTCAAAGTTTTAGTAATTATAAAAAATACATTCAAAATTTTAAAGTTGAAAGAAACATCTTAACATTTAAAAACTTACCACCAACTCATAAAACATAAAAATTACAAACACCTAACATAAAATTTGAAAATTTTAAAATATACTAAGATGAATTCTTAACATTTAAAAACTTACCACCAACTCATAAAACATAAAAATTACAAACACCTAACATAAAATTTGAAAATTTTAAAATATACTATTAAAGTTTAAAAAATTACAACACACACCTTCAAAGTTCAAAATCATAAAAGGCTGAAATTTGGCAAGAAAGGAGTAAATGTTTGATATTCTTTCATTAAGACATATAAATTTAAGTTTCAATTTAAAGTTTATCATCCTTTTTCAGCATCTACAAGTAGTTTGAGTTGACACCGGTAAAAAATAACAATTATGATAGATTAAAACTATCCAATTAAGAAATTAACATTTAAAAAATATATGACAGATTAAAAATTAACGTTACTGTATAAGTTTAAGGAACTACATATAATTTTAGTAATAACATTAATTGATAGAAGACTAAATTACATAAAACTAACAAAAGACTATAATATAATAAGTTAGTATTAATTGATTATAATGTACAAACATTCATCTCTGGTGTTAATAATATATAGAGAGTAAAAAAATACAAGAAATTTTGTATGAAGAAACTATCAGAAAGTTCACAGATATCTTTTAGAAAAAATCAAGTTGTTTAAATTTAAAAAAGAGAAGTGAAGTAAACAAACCCAAAATTTCAAAACATTCATGAATCACTTGAATTGACATTGACAAAAGGCATATCTAGCAAAGAGCATTGATGAGTTCCCCTTGAAGAACATATTGAACAATTTTCGTCCTAATTAAAAAAACATTCTCCATGAAAGATACAAGAAAAAGTAGTAAGTATTTATATTTTTTTGTACTTTATTCTTAAAATACTAAAGGATCATAAACTTAATATAAACTTACATATAAATAATCTTACAACAAAAACTAAAGTGAAGTCATTGATCAACTATGTTGCGAGATATAATAAGCAAGATAAGATGAGGGAAATCACTATAATGGACAAAAGGTAGATAATTAGTTACAATAGCGCAAGTAAAAAAAATTAAAATTGATATTTTTCTTTTTTCCTATATGGTGGTATGACTCTGTAAGTAAATTTATTTGGGGATATGACTACCAATAAAGGACCGGTTTTTAAAGACACGATCAAAGATAATCACATAATAGCACTGTCAGATTTCAAGATCTTTAAATATGAAAGTAACATATTTTACTACTAAAATTCTTATTAAAGGTAACTAAATATAAAATTCACATTATATTTATCTCAAATTTGTAGGGGAAAAATGCATGTTATCATAAATTGTGTTAACAATATATACCAACACAAAGATACAACTTATTGAAGAAATAAAAGAACAGTAAGTAAACCAAGCAAACATCCATATAACATAATAAAGAAAAAATATTGCACTTTAAAGCTAATACACATGACTTATTCAGAACAAGCTGCTAAAATAGAAGCATATCTATCAAGGCTATTTTACATATACAATACAAATTTAAACTATTGATATATGCAATTATTACAATATCAAAGAGGTATGGTCTTATCAGCACTATACACACTCATTCACTCTCACATTAAATGTAGGGATGACTCATCATTGTCTGCAGCCGACACCTGTAAAGTTGATGCCAACTAAGACGTCTGCTTGGACTCAGCTGGAATTACCCTTCTGCCTCTTTGATCTGTTATAAAAGGGAGATGTTGTTTGCTGGTTAGGGTGAGCATTCTCAACAAAACTCAAATATTCATTCTTCTTCTCCACTCAAGCTCTGAATTGACTTGATCGTCGGAGAAATCATCAGAGATTCCAACTCCAACCTATTATGAGTTCTTCATGTGCAAGATAGGACTTTTGGCTCAAGAATTAACCGTCTGAAAAAGTTTGAGGACCCTAGCACCTCTTATAATCTACTCTCAAACTCTCTGTTAGATAAGTGACATCAACATTTTCTGTTTGGCAAAAACCTGGATCAAAATTTACTTAGTTTTCATAGACCAAATTTTTATCACTAAATCAGTTCTAGTTTAGATTATCCCTCCATTGGTCCAACCTATAACTAGTTTAGGAACGAGACCAGAAAGTTCTTAAAACTACAAGCGCAAGTTATTGAAAGTGTAAGAAAGAAAAGAATTTATCCACTAGGTTCTACGAAACAGAGGGGTTGTATTTTATTATTTTCATGTTAAATGTTAGTGTCTTGATTCTTATTTCCACCATGAAAAGGAGGGAACAAGAAAGTTGCCAAGTCTTTTATCTTCTCATATCAAGATCTGAAATTTTGCCATTAATAATAACACGAACATCTATTTTAAAAAAGAAATCTATCATAATTAGCCACATAACATCTTGCCTCATAAACAACAGAGTCCAAGAGAATGATCAAATCTCAAGAGGAATCATGAGATATAGCTCAAAGTTGCAAAAGCTCTACCAAAGGGGAGGAATCTCATGATAACCATTTAATGGGCCTGGGCTTTTTTAGCAAACTTTACGGGCGTAATTTCAGGTGATACTAATAGCAACCCACAAAAATATAATGAGGCTAAACCCGCTACAGATAAAAGCCCGGGCCCATTATATGGCTACCTGGTTTCGTTCTTGAAGGTCAAAATCTATGGAGGGTATAGGATAGTTACCCATTTTCCCCTTCTATTTTTGTTTCTTTTGCCCCCCCGAAGAAATTTGATGAGAGCAATCAAAGTGAAGATGATGCCCAAATTGGGGAATCCCCAAAACCCACAAGCTATTTTTGCTTCTCTCTTCCACTCAACCCTAGTTTGGTTTGCTAAATGGAAGAGCAAATGGGATATCTCGAAGGTCAGCTTTCCTGAAAATTTTGATTATTTTTTGTAATGTAATGCGGATAAATCATGGGTTTTGTTTAAATTGGTATCTTAATTGGTCTAAGTTATAAAATTAAGGATCTTTGTTATTGAAAATGAGAAATTTACAATGTAATTCTCCTGGTATTGATACATATGCATCAAATAGGCTGTACGAATTATTGGTCTCTATTCATTATATGTTATATCCTAATTTATCGCGCATTCACTTAAATTCATGCGCTATTTGGGTGCCCATAAAAGCACTCATCTTTTTGTTCACGTTTTGATTTCTGGTATACCCATTTTTTTCAAAGAAGTGCCCAGTGGGTACGGTCCATGGCATTATACGTGCACCCAAAAATGCCAACCATTGTATCTGTGCACGAATCTTGAAACCCAATGACTTGTGTACTGCCATTTGTTTCGTTTGGTGCGTATTTAATGCTGAGAGCCTGGTGCACTTGATGCTTTTCCATGTTTTGCAGTTGTATTGGTATTTACGAAATTAAAATGAGTTTCTTTTCACATTGGGTATAATTGAGCCGGAGAAGTCCCATTTTCAAGTCAAAATTCCTTGATAAAGAGTTTTCTTTGGATGAACTTTGATATAAACTTGTTCATTAAGGAGATAGCCTTATGTTTTTTGCATTTGTTTAGATACGAAATATGTGGATGATGTTTCAAGAGATATGGTTTATACCTTGAGTAGACTTTTAAGTTTCAACCGTGTTGTGGTCTGCATCAATTTAACAAGCAGAAGAAAGACTTGCTTGTGAGTCAATTGTATGCCTCAAAAGCAGTGAACCCTTCAATCCTAATCTCTTGTGTAGACCTAAATGATTCATTGCAGATCATGGCCCTAATGGACATTAGTAATTTAAACGATCTTCTCCAATTTTAACTTCATTACATACTATATCTAACTTCCTATGGAAGCACTTGTTTTTCCTTCTAACATTCTCATCAGTACGCTAACATCCCTTGTAATTCACTACGGAATCTGGATTAGTTGCTTCTCCCGTTGGCTTAGATCGAGCTGGATCATACTGCCATTTAAAGCAAGTTTTCTTGATGAAGATTCACTTTTTTGTTATGTAAGCTTGTTTGTTTAGAGGCATAGCCTCGGTCAAGCTTGCATACAAATACAGTAAATGGAAGAAAGCGATTGACCTGATATGTTATTATTTTATAAATAGATAAAGAATTGGTGTATATCAACTCGACCACAAAGGACTTACAACAAAAGGACTTAAAAAAATACAAACCGTGGTAGGTTTATGGTTTGTTGCAGACCACTATGTAGTTTTCAAGTTCTTTCTTTCCATTCAAGTTGCAGAAGTAAGTTGACAAGTGCACGGGAAATGCAGTTGCAAAAGGTTACTTGAATTGATGGGTGCAGGTTATTTGCTCAAAATGATTTCTCGTTATCCACTATTTCCCAAGTATTTGCTTGGAATTTCTTATGTTTTCTTATAACATGATGCGAAGATGGTAGCCATATAATTAGATGAAGCGTAAAAGAACAAAAGCACTATTTGAACTCGGGGAAGATAAGAGATAATTGTTATTTGAAGAACTATGATTTTCCACATTAATATTTTCAGTTTCAATACTGTACGCGCTTTGATACATGTGTTACCTCCAAAAGAAAATTGTTTTATTTGTTGTCTTGACTCTTGATAACTAGGTAGAAATTAATAAACCCCTAATAGGATGAGAAGCTTGAATAACAATTATCTAAAGGTTCAATTTGTTGTGCTTCTATATGTTCTTCACTTATTAATCTACTAGGCTTATGAATTTTTTCCAGGACGAAGGGAGCCATCAACAACCATCCAAGGTGCATCACATCTAAATCTTTACGACTATCTTTAGATTGACCATCTTTGTGTTTACCTGCATCGACTTTTTCATATAATTGCTGGAAATACCATTTTTAGTTCACATTTTAATCTACAGATTAAACATTAAATGAGAATCTTTCATATTGTAAGAATGTAACATTTTTCTATCGTTTGTGATTGATTTGTTAATATTGTATGTTATAATAGTCTGATGCAGCAATGCCTTGGACAGCCATATGTCAGATATGCAGTTCGCCAAAAGAGGGCTAATGCGAAGAGAGAACTTAATGATCTTTTGAGCGGCAAGCTATCCAAAAATTACATTTGGGTAAATATATTTGAAAAACTCTCATTTTAATAAATAATATCTCTTTTACTTTTCTTTATTTGATTCTTATTAGAACTTGTCCTTGGTTTATGGTGAAATTACAACTAGGATCAAAAGTTATCTTGGGGTGCTGAAGAAATTACCAGCGGGAGGAAAGATAGTTCCCACTCGGAGAATCCTAAGAGGAACAAAGGTTGTTGAGATTCATAAATACATATATTGGTCTTCTTTTCTCCTCTTTCTTCTTTGGGGCAAAAGTATTTATGTATTTTGTCATGTTTGGAGATGTTGGACTCAGTGTTAGTTGACATCAGCAACCTCTATGACTTACCCAAAATAATGGAATACGTTTCCCATTTTCAGTTGAATGCGACCGTGAATGCCTTATAATATCTTAGTAATTCTTATGCTGGAGAAATTATCATAGTAGACAAAAAGGACTCATTTTTACTCGCTTATTATTAGTTTACTAAGAAAAATATGCATAATTCGAAGTGTGTTATTTGAACTATTCACGATTCTTAACTTTGTTGAAATTTACAGTAACAAGTTTGTCATTCAGTAAACTTTTGATTTGATATTTTGACGATCAAGGAATTATTCAAAGTAATAAATAAAACCCTTTCTTTTTTGTTATTCCCGGATATTTCTAGCCGACCATTGCCTGCATCAAGTTTAAACCTGCTCATAACATGACCAAGTTCTTTCTTTTGTTCAGGTTGGCAAAATAAGAAGAGCTTCTACTATGACGATGATTGTGAACAATCAGAGCCAAACTTCTCGGCAACTTTTGGTGGGCACAAATTTTACACTTGGTCATGGGAAAACCCTAACTTTCAGAGCTCCACATATGGCTTTGAATGGAGAGATGAGACGAATTGGGAGAAATCAAAGAAGAGATTTTGTAATGAAAGTGACGTAGAGGATGATTCTTCAAATGTTGTAGGTTTGTACTCTCATAGAGTTGCTCTTGGATTGCCTCCCACAGGTCCCTTGAAGTTGGATGACGTGAAATGCGCGTAAGTTCTAAACTAGTATTTGATTATACAGTATGTGATTCAAATTATATTATGAATTGTTGATTATAGGGTTATAATGTTACAGTTTTCGAGCATCTGCTTTGAAGTGGCACCCTGATATGCATCAAGGACCTTCACAGGTTAGCTCATCATTGAAATTGTGTGTCTAGTATGACATTGATGTCTGGGATTTGTTTGCTTCCTATTTTTCAGTATTTTTACTTTTGGACTTGAAACATAGTCATCTCGTACTTGTTGTATTCGCCGCTATTTATGATAAATTTTGTTCCTACCACTTTTTTTCCTTGATTATGACTACTGAGAAAATTAATAGATGTCTCACATTTCATGATGCAGGCTATAGCAGGGGAAAAGTTCAAGCAATGTGTTGATGCATACAATTCACTATGCAATGCACTGAAGTCCTCACAAGTTGCATGCACTCAATAATATATATACAACTCAACATTCGGAGTACTTGTATACCAAGAGAGCAACGTACATTATGTAATATCATAATTTTATTCTTCCCAGTTCAGAAATGTATGCCAAATTCTTGTATATCATAAGCTCAAATTTCATATATACGTCACGTCTTTTGCTTCTTTGTTGTACTTGAGCCTCTAAGAGTTTGTTTACGCATCCATACATCACAATTACACCAGCGTTTTTTTTGGTTTTATGTTTAACGATCATTTAATTATCTAATATTTATCCTTATAGAAAATATCACCTTAATTTCCTCAAAATATACCAACAAGTCAATACGTCACTCCAAGATCTTTACCAGGAGAGGACTATCTGCTACTTTGGAACATGAGTCAGCTCACACGTCATAACACAGGATAGCATATAGCAGTTGCAGACAAAAGTGAGTGCTCTTAATCTTGAAGAGAACTGGAAACAAATATAATGAAAACAATTATACAATTGCAGGCACATAGTCGATTGTAAGTAAGCGTGCGTAACAAACTCTGAATTGAGAACAATATAACACCATCTTAACCTTCTCATCTATGTCGCTGAGAATCAACCTTCTATAATGAAAGTATATACCAAAACTAATTACTGCCCATAAAAGAATGAACATCAGATACAAATTGAAAAGGAATCCTCAGATTAAAAAACAGCGGAAAAAAATTTGCCCACTAATTATTTACACAAGAAACAAAACCAAAAATCACCACCATGTTTCCACAATAATGGACAGGTACAAATTGAAGCTCATCCATATATCATTACATCGGTTCAAAATATGAAGCATCGTACATAAGTTATTAACTATGTTTTCTTCCAAAACAAAATCTTCACTCTAAAGACCACTTCAGCCCCTAACAAAAGCACAGCACAAATTTCTCATCTAATGAAGATCAAGCTCCATCTCTTTGCGCTTCAATTCCAATGCCATCCGTTCATTATCAAGCTTCATTCTCTTATTCTCCATCCTCATCTTATCCAATTCTTTATCTTTCTTCTTACTGAATCGAAGCCACTTGAACCTCTGCCTTTTAAGCTCTAACATCTCAGCTTGAATTTGTAAACTCTGCTCTTCTAACTGAAGCTTACGAGATTTCATATACTGTTTTTGAGCCAAATCAGCCTTTGATCCTTCTGGAAAATTTTGATTCATATCAACCGAAATGCCTTGACTCTGAGCCTTAGCATGGTATTCTTCTTCAAGCTCCGACTTCTTCAACCTTTTAGGGAAAAACGAACCTCCAGTTTCTTCAACATCATCGTCCCCATCATCAGAATCCATGTCATCATCGTCATCATGATCATCATGAACACCCCTCTTAGTATCATGCTCATCTCTACTCGTGAGAGCCAACTGCAACGATTTCTGTAAAGCAGGATCAGCAGGTAAATTCAATCTATTGCCATTATGATACGAACACATTTCTTCATAAAAGAGGTGCTTTGAGCTCAAAATTTTCCTTGCAATTTCTTTCGCTTTATTGGGGACATGATCCATCATATCTAAAAGTGCCGGATTTTCCACAACTTTACAAGTCGTGCCTCTACCGAGAATATCAGTAAGTCTCTTATACCTCTTGTTCAAGTCATTGAACTTATCTTCACATTGTTGCGGCGATACAAAACAACCCCTTTCAGCCAAAACTTTAGATATTGATTTCCATTTCCCTTTCTTTTGTAAAATGGCACACTTTTTTCTACCGCCACTATTGCAATCTGTTGCAACGTCTTCACCCAGGTAAGAGACCGCGGTTATCAAAAGCCTAACCATTGAATTGGTCCATTTCATCCTTTGCCATCCTCTCTTCCCTTTTCCACATTCATTATGGCCATTGATTCCATCTTCAGTACTAAAGCTAGGTTCATCCTCATCGCTAGCGGAGTTCTTACATCGATCTCCTTTGCTGTAGTCCATCATGGGAAGAGTCAACGGATGCTGATTACATTCATGTGGATAGATTTCATGCATTTGAGGGTGAACCATTGAGCTCTGGTGTTGGGGATTGTTAGGGTTAGGGTTTTGGTGATGGTGATGATGGTGATATGATGGATGTGGGTGTTGAGAGTGATGCATGTGGATGGGATCTTGTAGATCTAGCATCCCATAAGAAGCACCAGGCATCAGGCTACCTGTTGGCAAACTTCCCTCCATTTCCACCTTTTTGCTGTTATTTTGGTTAAGATCTCAACTTTTTTGAGATCCCAAGCTCTACAAACAAAACCCACTTGCTAATACAACAAAAGGTGGAATCTTGATCTGAGAATAATTAGAAACTTCGAGGATTTCTCCTCAATTTTCCTCAGTGTTTAACACAAACCATTCCTAGATCTCAACTTTTTAAAATTTCACGCGCTACAGACCAAACCCATTTCCTACTACAACAAGAGGAGGGATTTTGACGTGAAAATAAAGAGAAACTTCAAAATTTTCACCTAATTTAGCATTATTGAGCTCAGAAACAAAAGTACACATCTAATCCTTCAAACTTTAACTTCAAATCACAAATCTTGAACAGAGAACAAGTCAGAAGAGGACTTATCTGGTGAATTTGGGGATTAGGGTTTTGAGGACCGAGATTTCGGCGGAGGAAACGAGAGGAACGAAGTCACCATCTGAGAAAGACGGGAGTTTTTGTAGGAGGAGAGAGAGAATTGGGTTCAATGAATGGTGGCGTCAGCTGGGGCCCACCACGCTGGAATCACTCCTGGCCACAACTGACGGCGGGGCCCACGAGCGTTAACAAGGGGGCTGCGTTACTTATAACTTACTTTGTCTTTAGTTCAAGTATAAATTGTCAATTAGCCCCTGTGGCTTACACGTATTTTAATATTACTCCATGTCCTCCTCCCGTTGCTTCGTTTGTTGCGTTAGGAGTGCGTTTGTTAACGGGGTGTTTGTCTCAAAAAAAAAAATTGGCATTTGGCTGGTATTTCAAATTCTAGGATAAAAAGTGTGTTTTTTGGGTTTTAGAATTCCATAAAACTTATATCAAATCCTTAAATAATAAAAAATATTATATTTAAGGATTTGTGAAATCCTTTTTTTTTGTGGGATATGAGGTGGATTTCAAAAGTGTTAGACAAATTAAGGATTTCAAATTCTAAAAAGTTTGAAACAAACAAAAACATTACAAATTATAGTATTCCAAATTCCAAAATATTATTGAAACAAACAAAGGTTTAGGAATCCCAACCCATAACAAATTACCTATAGATTTCGAATCTCATGGTGAAATCAATATCCTAAAATTATAGAATTTGAAACAAACCCCCCCCCCACCCCACCCCACCCTAATATATAATAGGGTCGTTATAACTCTTCTTACCTTTAACAGCAATTACATCTATTAAATTTAGGGAAAATTGTGTCAATGTTCCAAAAGTAAAATTTTTAAGTGTTGTAGTCCCTCCATTTTTTTCCATGTGGCCTAAGAGTACGAACGTGGCAATACAACTATTATTTTTATATAATAGGGTCGTTATAACTCTTCTTACCTTTAACAGCAATTACATCTATTAAATTTAGGGAAAATTGTGTCAATGTTCCAAAAGTAAAATTTTTAAGTGTTGTAGTCCCTCCATTTTTTTCCATGTGGTTCAGCTTCAAGAAATGTCACATCATGTGCTGCAGCCTTTTTTCATATAATTATCATTCCAACTAAGCACAAAGTGAGAGAAACAAATATAAAAGCCCAAAATATCATCATTTCCTCCTCCCTCTTCGTTCTCTCCAGATCTATCATGTTAGGTCCAGTTTGATTCATGTTAAGTCTAATTTAATCACTTTTAAGTCTATTTTAAATCATGTTAAATCTAATTCAACTTGTTTTTAGGTCTAAAAATAAGTTGAATTAGAGTTAACATGAATCATGTTAAGTCTAATTTAACATGTTTTAAGTTTAATTTAATGTTAAGTCCAATTTGATTCATATTATGTCCAGTTTGATTCATGTTAAGTCTAATTTAAGTCATTTTAAGTCTAATTTAAATCATGTTATGTCTAATTTGACTTATTTTATGTATAAAAATAAGTTGAATTATACTTAACATGAATCATGTTAAGTCTTTTTCAACTTATTTAAAGCTTAATTTCATGTTAAGTCTAATTTTACTTTATGTTAAGGCCAATTTGATTCATGTTAAACTTAATTTAATTTCTTTTAAGTATAATTTTAATCTAGTTTAGTGTTAAGTCCAATTTAGTTCATGTTAAGTCCAGTTTGGTTCATGTTAAATTCAGTTTTGATTCGTGTTAAATCTAGTTTGGTTCGTGTTAAGTTCTGTTTAAATCATTTTAAGTCTAATTTAAATATTTTTAAGTCTAATTTAAATCATTTTAAGTCTAATTTAAATTGGACTTAACATAAAATTAAACTTAAAATAAAATAAAATAGACTTAACATAGATTATATGTTAAGTCTGATTTCGTTCATGTTAAGTCCAATTTAAATCATGTTAAGTCCAATTCAGTTCATGTTAAGTCTAATTCTGTTCATGTTAAGTCCAATTTAAATCATGTTAACTCCAATTTGGTTCGTGTTAAGTCTAATTTGGTTTATATTAAGTCCAATTTAAATCATGTTAAGTCAATTCAACTTGTTTTAGGCTTAATTTCATGTTAAATCCAAATTAGTTCATGTTAAGTCTAATTTAATTTCTTTTAAGTCTAATTTAAATAATGTTATGTCTAACTTAACTTGTTTCAAGTCTAAAAATAAGTTGAATTAGACTTAACATGAATCACGTTAAGTATAATTCAACTTATTTTAAGTCTAAATTCATATTAAGTCCAATTTGATTTATGTTAAGTCTAATTCGGTTCATGTTAAATCTAATATATATCATGTTATGTCTAATTCAACTTATTTTAAGTCTAAAAACAAGTTAAATTAGACTTAACATGAATCATGTTAAGCTTATTTTGGTCGTGTCGGAAATCAGTTTTATTGCTTTCGAATCCATTACAACTTCAGGCGTTACAACGATTCAAAATAAAGAAAATTCAGCCTTTTTATAAGACTTCTCTTACAATGAAAATAAAACAGATGACTTCCTGAGAACACACGTAGAGAGATCGTTTATCGGTCTTCTGCTTGCGCGGGATCTTTGCTGGTGTCGGGGTTTATCCGTGGACCACCAACTGATTAGATCCGAATAAAGTTTTCGTTACCTCACAAATGAGACAAAAAAATTGAAGTGACTATCTCGGCAACAGTGAGACAATCACTTTTCTCGAGAATTACAGCTAGGTGCGATCTCAAGAAAAATGGATGAAGAAGATACAGATCTCTCGAACTCTCCCTCTCTTTGTGCTGAAAAACTTGTTAAGATCTCTTCCTCCTCTCTGAAATTCATGCTCGTCACTCTTCAATTCAATAGGGCTTCATCGAGACTCAAGAATTCCGGATCCTCGCAAATGAATGCCCTAGGGCCATATTTCTAGGCTTCAGAAGCTCGATTTTTTGGATAAGAATGGTCGATTCCCTCATATATTTAGTTAAAATCATGTTCACTTCAATTAGAGGGCTCTTAGATCATAATCTACCAAAATCTCAGCGGTTAACAGCGAAAACTGCATTTTGGGGCACGAGACAGACCCTGTGTCTCGACCTTGGCCGAGACACAATATGTGTCTCGGTTTCGACCGAGATGCTATTTAGCATGCCTTGAGTGTTTTCCTTGTAATTTTCTGGTCTGATATCAGAATAATGCGATTCAAAGTGCATTAGAAAGCTGGATAAGAGATCTTAATCTCCCAGGGGTGAATCATACATGGAGTGGACGAGACACGAGTGATGCTTTGTTATTCTGTAAGTGAAATGTAACTCCCGATCGAATCGTCTTTTTGTTATTCTGTCGTATCGTTGATTCCTACGCTTTGTCGACTCACTTCATACAGTTGTCGGCGTCAGATAATCCTCCTTGACTCGAATAATGACACTCATCGTCTTCTTTTTGTCTCGAGCTGCGTGCGAGAACCTATAGGTAATTTTTAACGTCTACATATTTTAACTTATTTTAAGTCTAATTTCAATCATGTTAAATTTCTTTTAAGTCTAATTTAAATTATGTTAAATGTAATTCAACATTTTTAAGTCTAATTTCATGTTAAGTCCAATTAAATTAGACTTAAAACAAATTGAATTAGACATAACATGATTTAAATTAGACTTAAAATGAATTAAATTAGAATTAACATGAATTAAATTAGACTTAACATGAAATTAGACTTAAAATAAGTTGAATTAGACTTAACATAAAAATCTAATTTTATGTTAAGTTCAATTTAATTCATGTTATGTCTAATTTAATTCATTTTAAGTATAATTTAAATCATATTATGACTAATTCAACTTGTTTCAAGTCTACTTCAACTTGAAATTAGACATAACATGATTTAAATTGGACTTCAAAGGAATTAAATTAGATTTAACATGAATTAAATTGAACTTAACATAAAATTAGGCATTCATGTTAAGTCTAATTTAACTTGTTTTTAGACTTAACATGAAAGAATAAAGGAGATACGGATATTTTGGGGGTTTTCCATTTTTATTCTCTCTCTATGATTAGTTGGTAGGTAATAATTGCTAAAGAAGGACTGCAGCACATAGATCTCTAATATAAGGGCTAAGACACATGTGAAAAGGTCAAAGGGGCTACACCATATGAAGTTTTTGCTTTTGGGACATTGACACAATTTTTTCTTAAATTTAACTAATTTTTAAAATTTCCAACTTGTAGTTGTAGTTGTTTGCCACTGCTTGTAACTTTTGGTATGCAACTCATTTTTAACTGTTAAAAAATAAACAATAACTATT